GGCACCTGCGGCAGGCCCCAACACAGGGGAGGCCGGCGGCTCCGGCCAGCACCGTCTGTGGCAGCTTGCGGCCTGCCACCAAAAGCAAGAGCCCGGCAAAGCGTGCCCGAAGGAAGGCGGGATGCCAACTGCCACACGGCCGTGTAACAGCAGCATTGAAGGGTTTCAGCTCTCAGAACACCTAAGCTCACAAGACTGCAACGTGAATAACATGCCAAGGAATAAGCCACTGGCTGTTTCAAAAAACTGAATTTACTGGGGAACATTGGTTCATAAAGTTATAGAGGGTTCAAGTGTACAATTCTATAATACATCATTTGTATATTGTATTGTATGTTCACCACCCAGAGTCAAGTCTCCTTCCATCCCCATTTATGCCCCCTTGCCCCCACCTTCCTTTCCCTCCGGTAATCAGCACTGCTGTGTCTACGGTTTCTTGTTTGCTTTTGTTTAATCCCTTCACCTTTTTCACCCAGCCCTCCAACTCCCCTCCTCTGGGACAGCGGTCAGTCTGTTCTCTGTTTCCATGAGTGGATGAAATAGCCGAGGTACATTCACACAGTGGAATTCTATGCAGCCGTAAAAAAGGAAATCTCACCTTATGTGACAAGACAGATGGACTAGGAGAGCATTGTGCCGAGTGAGATAAGTCAGCCAGAGAAAGACAAATGCCGTATATTTTCACTTGTAGGTGGAGTGTACTGGACGCAGCCCTGGGAGCTGCACAGCGACTTGGTCACACTCAACATGTTATTTCCAAACACATGCTTTCCTCTGGGCTCATTTTCAAAACATTGCACTTCACAGCTAGACTGCAGGCTTATGCAACCCCAGCAATGTTAGAAACACAGCTCAGGCCAGGCCCTCCTAACCCGCCCCACAAACCCACCCACAGGGGTTCTGGGGATCCCTGGAGGCTACTCCCATGCCTGCTCTGGGAATGGTGGCACCTCGCCCTGGGACTGTCAGCTGACACAGTCCCAGGGGCAGGGAGACAGGGGAGCAGGGCTGTCAGGAGCAGGTGGGCGGGGCAGGCATGGCGCTCTGGGGAACATGGTTTTGTGGGAGCCTCGCTACGACCCATCCGAGGAGGGGAGCCCAGGGCACCTCCTCGGATGGGTCTCCATCGTCAGGACGGGCCCTCCCGGAGCCCTGAGGCCCGTGGGCCTGGCAGAATGGGCAGGGTGCCCAGTTCCTGCGGCACACTTTTGAGTGACTATTGTTCTAGGGACGAAATCCTGATTTTTTAAAATGAGAAATAAGGCTGACTGTGCTTTTCTCAGTACTAAGAGATTAAAGAGGTTGTAAAACAAAACTGTGCAAGTACTTGTGTATATATAATGCATATATGTACAAATATACCTCTGTGTATGTATGTGTGCCTGTATATGCTTCTGTGTATATGTATGTACTGTGTATGAATGTGTATGTGTATGTCTGTGTTATTATGTAATGTGTGTGTATAAATACTCCAGTGTATGTGTGTATAAAGTGAGTGTAAATAAGCGTATACACTTCTGTGTGTACATGAGGTATGTGTGAGTGTATGCATATACACACATATATAAAACATACACGAATGTTGAAAACCCACACATCAGGTCAGAAGAGCATAAAAACTGAAAAGACAAGTTTTTTTCAACCCTGAACCTCCCTTTCCCCCCCCCAGCACTAGCCACAGCCCAGCTCTATGTGTGCGCCCCTCCATAAATCAGAATCGGTGAGTCAGAAGAGAAAGCCGGTTCCCTGACAGTCAGGTCAGACGCCTGCACTGAGGTAGCCCTCACTGCCCAGGACTCGGGACAGCACTGCCCTTGGGCCTGTCTCCTCACCTGGGACATGGGAACACAGCACCTGACCCTCCACTCACCGCCCTCCCACAGCTGCTCTGAGTGACCCTGCACTGAGTGACCAGCAAGAGGACACTGGAAATTCCCTGGATCCCACCGGGCCACAACTGTGCCAAAAGAGGCATCATCGTCAGACTCCCAGGTGGTTAGAGCCCTGGGGCCTGGTGTCCACTTGGAGCCTTAGCCTCCGGTGTCCAGGGAGGGCGAGGCCTTCTCTGTTCTCCCACAGGACACACACTGTCCCGGAAATCCTCCATCCCGTGTTTACCTGGGAACACCAGCTTTAGGCCAGGTCACCTCCCATTCATCTATCCCTCCACACCCCTGGGAGAGAGCTGGGGTCACAGGAGATGCTGGATAAAGAGCGGCTCCTCATTTTTGGAGTCTCAGGCATGGAGCAACCAGACACAAGGGGCAGCAGCGGGGCTGCAGTGGGCACGGCTGGCAGGGCCCAGGAGTCTGGCAGGTCAGGGGAGCCGGGCCTGGTCTGTGTGCATGGGGGTGGGGGCACTGAAGCCAAGACCATGAATGGCCGGGAGTGTACAAAGTGTGGGATTCCTTGCTCCAGAATGGCCACACCTAACTCAGGATCCAGGTGGAGACCAACCTAGGTGTCTGATGCTTTTCTTTCTTTTTTTTAAAAATCAAAACTCAGGCATTCTGCTAAGGGCTCAAAAGACTGCTCATTTCTGGGTAAATTCCATGCAGGGCCACCAACTGCAGGTCTGGCGGAGAGGAAGTCTCCCGGGACTCAGCCTTCCTGGTAATCCTCTCTGGGGATTGGGCTGGGGGAGGGGTGGGCTCCCAGGCTAGGCCCTCCCAGGACTCAGTTCCAAAGTGTACAGGAAGCCAGTCTGCTTTCCAGGAAGTAAGTGCTCACTGACACTGGTACAGGAGTTCAGAAAAGAGGAAACTTCAGAGCTGGAAGTGGGATGTGCTCACATCCACAGGCTCCAGCGGGAAGTACCCCAAAACCCGGGTGATATAAAAACCACTTCATGATTTCAGGAGTAATGAATCACCATGTGACTATCCAGTATGATAATTATTCATGGTTTTCAGAACTTACTGCATTGTTTTCTGTCCAAAGAGATGCTTAAGCTCTTTGCAAAATCTACAGTTAAATGACAGATAGACGGACTGGTCATTAATCTAGACTCATAGTGGCCCTTCCCCAGCAGCAAATGCTAGCAGGTAAGTGCAGGTCTCCATACTGGTTTATCTTAACCAGAATTTACATGATATCTGAGCACTCTCGGTGTCTCAGTCATCGCTGAATCCATTTATTTATTGATTTGGCAGGCAGGGTTTCTTTGCTTGGATAGGCCAATTCACTCTGTGGAAACTTTACCCCCAAATGCAATAGATAATGGTAAAATGTTTGGCCGACAGAACGCTGTTGGTGAAAAGCAAAACGTGTCTTCAGAGTGGGACCTGGAACGTGGAGAGCGATGAGGAACCACACACCCTCAGCCACATGTTGCTGACATCTGAGCAGCAGCAATAACTTTGGTACAAATACACATGATTATTCTGACAGCGGTCTCTGAAACGTTGTGATAAGGTGTACACAAAGTATCTTACCCACCTGTTCTTTTCCTGAATGTCACCTGGATGCTGCCTGACGTCTAAAACCGGGACCTCAAACTCATCTCAGTGAAGAACAGCCTGAACAGCCCACAGGCATTGCTCCAAACCTCCAACCTACGAGTCTATGAGCCCTGGTGGAGGGGATCTGGGGATTTCCTACTCTGCTCTGACATCCTCCCCTTTCGCTTCTTTATTCACTCAACCACTAGCTGAGTCTCTGCAGTGGACCCCATCCGCTGGAGCGGTGAGCACACAGTTTAGAACAGGACAGGTGAACTACTTTACACATTAAAAAATTCTCAATGTCCTGCCCAAAAGTTTATCACAGCTGGAAACATACTGCCCACCAACTAGACAACCACTTAAATCCCCAAACTGCACCTGCTTCTGTGTAGTTTTGGAGTCAAAAGAAAGGCCATACTGTGAGGTATGTTACAGAAATGCAAACACCACACACAACCCGAGTGCGGAGATTTGACGCAGCCCGACAGGCGTTCATTCCATCAGGTCGGAAACCACTCGAAGAAAAGGAAAAGGCCCTGGCCTGGCAGCTGGTGGCTTCAATCCCCACCCGGGGAACATACAAAAATCAACTAAAAAATGTATAAATGGGTGAGACAAGAAATCAATGTTTCTCTGTCTCTCTCTAAAATCAATCACTAAATTAAAAAGAAAGCACACAAAAAAGAAAAGAGTGAGGGAGGGAGACAGACAGGGGAGAGGGGAGGGGAGGGGGGAGGGGAGGGGAGGAGGAAGGGGAAAGGGTGTGGAAGCTCCACTACTTCCTGCAGCCAACCATCCCTCAGCCAGGACCAGATGATCCCAGAAATAACATCAGATGGAAGCAAATGGCACACTGTTCCCTCCCAGGCTGGAACCGAAGTTGTATACAATTGATTCTGGTTACGGACTAACCCCCAAGGGAGCGTCCCTGGCACACTCCCCAGAAAACAACTCGCAATCAGGCGCAAACGCTCCTGCTGTTCATCTTCAGGGGGCCCCACAGGGCTCGCACACCACTGCCTCTAGCACTGACTCAAGTAACCAACTAGGTCCTCGCATAGGAAGCTCATCAAGTGACAAAAATCACACGGGAGGGGGGTCCACTCCAGCACCGCATGGAGCCTGCACCCCACAGGAGTGGACTACGAGACCAGGGACCGAGGTGCGTGGACCGGGCGGGGGCTGCGGGTGTCAGGGGAAGTGATGCAGGGATCAGGAAAAGAGGTGCAGGGGACAGGGAAAGAGGGTGCAGGGGCCCGGGGAAAGAAGATGAGGAGCCAGGCTCCGGGCACGGGCGGCCGGAACATAGGTGAGGGGACCAAGGATGGAGCGAGGGCGGCGGGGACTCCGGATGCAGGATGCGGGCCGCAGAGGGGACTCCGGATGCAGGATGCGGGCCGCAGAGCAGTGTAGCGGCCGAGGGCCGCTGGCGCCTGAGGGGCGGCAGCCGGGTTGGGCCTGGCCGGAGGACCCCTCCGCGCACCCCTCCCTGCCGCGCATCCCCGCCCCTCGGCGCGGCCCAGGCAGCGGGCGCGCAGGGCAGCGGCGGGAACCCACCTGGGCCTTCTGCAGGGCGCCGAGGCGCAGCTCGTGCACGAAGGGGTTCCGCCCCGGGGGCGCCAGCCGCCGCGCGTCGACGGCCCCCGCGCTGGAGGCGGGGGCATCCCGGGGACCAGGTCCCCGCAGTCTCATGGCCGCGCCGCCCTCCGTAAGGGGAGCCGGGGAGCAGGGCGCGCCCGGCGCGGAGCGGAGCAGGGAGCGGAGCGGAGCAGAGAGCGGAGCGCAGTGCCGGGCGCGGGACAAGGATGCGCGGTGGCTGGAGCGGGCCGGTGTGTGGCCGCGCAGGCGCGGGAGGGGCGGCGGCGTGACGTGGGCGGGGGGCGGTAGTGGGGCGGGCCCGGGGCGGGGTTTTATCGCAAACCCCGCCTACCGCGGGCCTGAAGTAGCAGCCAGTCCCGATCTGCTGGCTGCAACCCGGGTTAGCTCTTAGGGGGCCGCGGGAAAAGCAGCGCGGGAGTTGAGGAGCGCCTGGGTCCTGGCCGGACCACAGAGAACCACCGGCCGGCCCGGTTCCGGGAGGATCCGGGGGGTCCGGTTGCCAGTTCGGTGAGGCTTGCCACGTCGCCCCCTTACGCCGCTCAGCACACGGCCGGGACGCGGCGTGTAGTTCCAGCACCGACCCACGCGGGGCAGGGTCAGTGGCTGGCACGCGAGCTACCCCATCTCCACTCCAGGTCTAGGTGTGAGGCTGCCTCACCTCCCCAAATCTTGAGGCCCAAGAGGAGCAGGGCCTGTCCAGGGCGCACGTGTAAGAAGTCACTGCATGCATACTCGGGTCCATTAGGACTGCTCTCCAGAACCAGCTCCTGCCGCTTTTCTTCCCTCTACCTTGTCCTCATTCAGACTGTTGCTGTACTGTAAGGCGGTTTGGGAGAAGGAGCTTCTCGCTGCATTCTCCTAGGTCTGTGCCAACTCTGACTATTAGGGTAGGCCTCACCCCAGACATGTGGAGTCCACTCAAACCACGGGACCCACCCAGACCCGGGGACCAGGCAGGGGGTCCACAGAGGGGAGTCCAGTGGTTTGAATCAAATTATTCTTATCCCCTAATTACTCTGGTTCATGGAATTACTCTCCGAACGAAGGGGAGATATTAGGGGATCCCTGATTTATAGCACAGTATTAACTAAAGGAAAAGTGAAATAGCTCCATGTTCAAAATTTGTAAATTAAAAAAAAAAATTTTCACTGTAAAGCTTTTGTAGGGAGAACAGCAACTTTCTTGGCATGCCTCTCATTGTGGTCCTGGCAGTCAGGCGTCAGCTGATGGGCCAGGGAAGTTGACAGGGACACAGTCCAGCAGCCCTTCTGTTTGCACGTGAGTGTCTGACATCATGGGAAGGAGCCCCAGCTTTCCCTGCATTGTTCTAGGGCTGCAGGGAGGTCAGACCTCACTGGGGCTTCTGTTATCTGTAAGGCCCTCCAGCCTCATCCCTTCCTGGGAAGTGGGTCAGGGAGTGACTTGGCTCTCTGATAACCCAGCTGAGACCCTTGCCTCTAACAGAGTGAAGTATCACCATGCTGAACCCCTTCTCTGTTTTAATGGAGGGAGAGAATTGGGACCAAAGGAGAGGCCATTGGTTCCCTATGGCATCCCACACAACGAAGCTAACAAGAAAGGGAAGAGCAGGGCTGGGTCCAACACTGATTCTGAGCCTTACGCTTGACCTGGGTAAGTGAGCTGTCCTGGAACCTCAGTTGGCACATCTGTGAGAAGCAGCCAGCGGCAGTGTTGCCTTCCACTCTGTGCCGTGATGACATAAAGGCCTGGGGGCCGTGGTGGATATTATTTGCTGGTGGACACCAGCAGGCACTGTCTCCCTTGCCTCTGTGGCCATCAGCACTCTGCTGACCTCCAGGGATTGGGTTGGTGATTGCTCTGATCTCAGATACCAGAGTCCAGCTGGGGAGGCTGGTGGGGCAGTGGGAAGGGCTGGGCAGAGTGAGGAAGAAGAGGGAGAGGAGAGATCAAAAGGAAGGGTGCTCCGCACATTCACGATAAACAGAGCCATGGTGGACCCCGGGAGGTGAACAAGGGCCACAGGCCACCAGGAGAGCAGCGTGGAGGTGTGGCGGGCTCAGGACTGTGAGTCCAGGAGTCGTTCGCCTTAGGAGGACTGGCCAGGGTAGAACTCAAGTGCTGTCCAGTTGGAGGAGGCAGCAATGGAGAGCGCCCTGCAGTGAGGCCCGTGGTGGATGGGAAATGGGAATTCCAAGGACTGTCTCTTTTAAAGCTGCCAGATGAAGGAGAAAGGGGGCAAGAGGGGAGGTGTGCAGATGGAGGTACAGGGAGTGGGGGGCGCAGATCCAGGATGGCTGCTCTAGGGAGGGCTACTCTCTGGGCCTCTTCCTAGGTGAGGGCAAACAGTGGGCCTGGAGGCACAATTGAATACCCACTAATGATCCTACCTCCCAGAAGATCCAGGCTCAGGGGAAGGAATGGGCTGGGACCAAAGCTTGGGACCCCTCCCTGGTGCAGCTGGAAAGGACAAGATAGCTAACAGACGACTAACCACTTCAGACAAAGATCCTTTGTGTGTGAGGAAGTCAACTATCTCTTGGATGCAGAGAGTGAGAGATAGGGGCTGGCGGGGGGGGGGGGGGGTTGTTGTGGGAAGAATGGTTCAGGCTGGGAGGTTGGTTGGCTGCAACTGATCATTCACTCTTAGGCTTCAAGTTTAATACTGTGACAGAATGTTCTGGAAGTTCTGGAGTGTTCTAGAAGCTTGATTAGGAAAAGTTGGTCTTGGGTGTGGAACTAGAAGCAGTTTCTTTCAGAAGAAGGGGATAAACTTCAGTTTATCTCTGGGGCTTGAGTTTCTCAGTTTTGGAAAAACCACCAGGTGGTCCTTTAGCTACAAAGGCAAGTTTCCCCTGGTTCCCCAGGAGCCTCTGGGATGGATGCACAGCCTGGGGCACAGGAGCTGCTGGCGAAGCCCAGCCCCTGTGGCCCCCTGCTCTTCTTCTCTTTGAAGCAAGTAGATGGAGAGGGAACTGTCTCCCATTCTCCAGATGAACTGAGGACACAGTGCCTGCTGGTCGCTGTGGGGCTGGGCATTCGCGGTGTGTTTATTTACTTAGTTTTAGAATTGTTTACAGGAAAGGAAGACATGTTCTCCTTCATTTTCTTCTAATATTTATTTTTAGTTCCACCTTATTCCTAAACATAACCACCTTATGGTTATTTTTAATCTGCCCGCAGACTTTTTTCTCTACATAGTGACCCAATATTCTCATCACCATTTATTGGTTTCCCACGTATGGTTCCACTTCGGACACAGACAGAGTATTTATAAAACTCTATTATAGGCGCTCTGTTTAATCCCACTGGTGTGTCGGTTCCTATGCTGGCACCACACTGTTCTCACGTCTGTACCTTCAGAGGAATGTGTCTGAGTAGCCAGCAGGGTGCATTCCTGTTGGAGCTTCTTTTCAAGACTTGTCTGTGATTCGCGGAACTTTTTATCCATCCAAATATTAGAATCAGTTTGTCCGGTTGCTAAAATTTCTTTACTGAAAGTTTTGAGTTGCGTTACATGTGTAGATCATTTCAGTAAGGATTCCTTGAAAGGTGCCTGGAGTTAGGTCTAATCAGGTGTGGCGAGACGCACAGATGGGGATGACTCTCAGGCATCGAAGAAGTTTCACTCACAGCTCCCCAGAAACAGGAGGCACAAAGGGACGCGGGGGAAGAACCAGGGTCAGACGGGATGGGGAGGGAGCCCAGGGCAAACCCTTTGTTATGGTTTCCGCAGGAGGGAAGAGGCCGGGAAGGGTAAACAGGTTTAGGATAGGCTAGTGTCAATAATTTCAGTGGGCCAAGGGGTCGGGGGCTGCCCCTGAATGGCCAGTGTCTGCCCGGAGGTGATTAGGGCAGAGCACAGCGCCCTTAAGTGTGAAGGCAAGATAGAGGAGAGGGAGGGGTGATGGGTCTCGATTGGTTAGTTTGCACTTGAAAAGCGTGCTCCCAAGCCTGTAGCCCTGGGAGAGGCTGTCAGTGAGGAGGAAGCAAGGCCTCCAGATGTCAAAGCGTTAGAAATATAGAAAATAAAAAAACCCAAACAAACATGTTTTATAGTTTGCAATTTTAAGCATTATTTGTCACCAACATAGGTTGCTTTTTTTTTTTCATTTATTTAGGCCTTCTTTTAAGTTCTTTGAGAGCATTTAAAATTTTTCTACATAATGATTCTACATTTTTATTAGACTAATTCCTGGATGTATTATAATTTTGCAGCAGTAAAATAAAGGAATCTTACTGTTTTTTAAAATTGTTCTAATTGTGCATGGCTCACATGGAGGAATGTGGATCTTGCTGAGGTCATGTAAAAGCAGACCGTGGGGGGCAAGAGGCCATGGTGGATGTCCCCGGCCCAGCTGCATGTCCCGGTCCAGGCAGCTGTCTCTGCCCCAGAGGATGCAGCCCCAGGTGCGTGTGTCTGAATGAGGGACCCCAGCATCTGCAATGGACGAACCTCCCAGGAAACCCGGAGTCATGAGGAACCATGAATCCTGTGCTTTTTGGTAGCTGAGCTTTGGCATATTTTGTTAAGCATCAATAGCATCTTCCAAAGGCAGGTATGTTAGGTTTTGATGAAATCCAGTTTATCAATATCTCTTCTTTATGAGTCACGCTTTTGACATCCTGTTTTAGAAGGACTTACCTATACCAAGGTCATTAATATTTTTAAATAAATAAAATGTGTTGAGAAAATTTTGAAAAAGATTTTCTTATTTCAGAAGTTTGATAGTTTTGGCTTTAATGTTAAGGCCCATATTCCATTCTGAGCTAACGTTTGGGTGTGGCATGAGTTGGTGGTCGGGGCAGAGATGAACATTTTCTTTTCTCGCTGGATAGCCAAGTGCATTTGTTGAAGAAAATATCTTGCCCCATAGAAATACCTTGTCAACATGGTCAAAAATCAAGGGACTGTGTCTGTGTGTGTGTTTCTGGGCTTTGGGTCGAGTTCCACCCACCTGCACACTGATGCCTGTGCCGATACCACAGCGTCTCCGTCGCTGAAGCTTTGCATTAAGTCTGAAATTAGACGATGCAAGTCCTCCAACTTTGATCCTCTTTGCCAAAGTTGTTTTGACTCTTCCAGATCCTTTCATTTTCCACATAAATTTTAGAATCAGTCTGTTAACATCCCCAAAAACATCTGCTGGGATTTTTAATGCAAGTGTGTTGATTCTGTGGGTCAGTTGGCACAATTGTTGAGTTAGTTGTGCTTGGGCATGGTGTATGTCTCACTTACTTAGGTTTTCTTTGAT